TCCCCCCCCCCCCTCTCTCTCACGCACGCACGAATACTACAGTCAGCAAAAGAAGCTGAACCGAAAAAATTGTTGTGGCAAAGGAGCTAACGGTAGGGTCTTGAATTCTTTCATGCGTGTCCTCTTGGACAGTAAAGTTATCCTTGAAAGGGAAAAGGAATAAGCGGCTTCCAATTTGACCAATCTAAAAGAACGAACAATTTAGGAGCAAAAATCTAATTAATCCATGCCTTGCTTTGTTGTCCCACCTACACGTTATGTTGCATTTCACTCACATGTATACATGCAGGCAACTTCATTTTCACTAAACTGCATCTGTCCTTTAGGTTTTTGGTGTGGGGTCTCAAGCGGTGCGCCAAGAAAACTATCTACAGCTTCAACAATGAAATGATGAGAATTGATCAACTTCCATTTTAGGGTTCATCGGGTCTTGCGTGGTAGAAGACCTAGAACAACTAATTGCATGTTACCTAAAGAAATGTATGGAAGGAGAGAGGGAGTCAGTCCACTGTGGTTTGTGTGTATCATGATATGTAAGGCAATACAAAACCTAGTAAACCCTAGCTATGTCGACGTCGATATGAAACCAAATTAAAGTGTTCAACGGATGTAGCCATCTAGGCATAATATATATCCATCATTGACCCGAGGTTTCAGAAGTTCCATGTGTATATGATATGAACACATTAAGGTCGCAGCTCCTATATATATTGTATTTAAACAATTATTAACTATGACCAAATTTAACTTTAAACCTTTCATATTTTTTCCCAGGGCATGCATGTAATTTTTCATGAAGTATTAGTGTACAATCTCATTGAAAATCTCCAGGGACAGCAACAGAAAACACAAGATCTTGGACACATATCTAGTAAATAATTTTAAAATCAAGAAAAAAGAAATGAATTTAAAGTTCCCCCCCTCTATATATATATATATATATATATATAATCTATAATACTAACCTTTTTTAATATAATTATTTATTTCCTTTTCCCGCTTCGTGCACAAACGCGGTTTGGAGATGTTGAAAATGATGTTTAAATCAGCTCCTTTTGTCACCTCACTTTTCTCTCACTTTTTTATCTCCTTGCATGTGAGACGGTGATGGTTGCTGGACCCTGACGTCACGATTTTCTTTTTTTCGGTCCCTTTCTTTGCTCAGATTTCTTATTTTTAACCAGTGTTTTACCCCACCTAAGTATAGTAACTGGATAAGTAGCAAGAATGGAAAAAACAATTACTAGAAATTGTCTTCCAACAGTCAAGCATAGCACAACAATAAAGCAAACTCAATATTTGCTAATCAATGGTTAGAAATTTAGAATCCTTCATCCAAGTTCCAAGATCAGATGTGATCAAAAGAAAACCTAGGTTGTTAATCAATTTAAATTAAAGGTGGTGTTTGGCAAAGTTGTGAAAGTTATTTTTTAAAATAATTTTTGTTTAGAAATATATTAAACTAATATATTTTTATTTTTAAAATTTATAAATTACAACATATCAAAACTACCTAAAAACACACGAAAAATAATTTAAAATAAAAAAATTCAAAAAATAACAAAATGATGATTCAATACTTGCACCATACAGTCTCTTCAATACACTAAATTTATCTTGTTGATTAATTATTATTCTAATTAGAATGTATTTGTTTTTGTAGTTGAATACAATCCAATCATACACAAAATTCAACCATAAAAAAAGTAATTTTTCATGTTTTTTTTAATTTTTTCTTTTTCTTTTTTTTGTGAACCTTTCACCCCCAACCGCAAAAACAGACTCACCCTATCCTTACGCATGCTTCTCCAATTTACTTTTCCTCGACACCCAAATCACCATTTCCGAGCCGTTTGAGTTCCTGGCCTCAGCCAGTGTCAAATGGTGCCAGTTTGTACTCCAGTAATGATTGAATGACACAGATTTAGGGGTCATACGAATCCGTGTACATCAAGGAAGAAATAAACTACTAACAAATCATGAATGCCCATCTAAAACTAATTATTCTGATTACAAAAATGCTTCACAGCTTTGCAAAATAAGCCTATACGCGAACAAATAAGAAGACTACAAAACGAGTTTTAATGTCTGCAATATCATAGACAAGGAAGCAAAATTTATGGGAGAGAATGGGAACCGAGGTTTTGGGGCCAGGTCGTACTTTCATTAACCAGCACGTACTGCTACACCGACATTAGCACCAGCAATTTCTATTTCCAGTAAATACAGCATTTAAGCATTCAACATCAACATTCTGCTTTATAAGATTAAAATCACGATCACAGCGACACAAATGTTGGACATGGGTAGCTGTTGGCAATGATGTTCTTTCGACTCTGATTTAAAACATACGAACAAGATAAAATGATACATGACAGATGCAGCAGGGTCATTTAGAAGGAAGTTTGATATGGTCTCTTTTTCCAGGAAAGGGAAAGAAATGTAAAATTGCACATAAATGTGTTGCTTGTGTTAAGGCCCACCTCAAATACTTGATGAACTAAACGTAGACTGATTTTGTGCACTTCCTAATCATCAACTGACCTCGAACCATAATAAAAGAAAATACAGTAGCTTGAAAATTTACAGGGGCAGAACGTAGAAAATTTGCATACATATCCTCTCCTCTGCCATCCTCCGCGACAAAATGAAAGGTAGAATTTCAACTCACTCACTTCTTCGCATCTTAGCATTAAGTGGAATTTCCTTGTAGGTCTGAACTTTCTCGGCTGCTCGACGTGTGGGCCGAAAGGATGTCCTTCGCAGTTCTTGAGTTTCAAATCTACGGACACTGTTCCCTGTTTCAGATTCAATTTTAACAGATGTAACTGATGATGTAGGACAACTTTCACGCACTGGGTCATCATGTAATGGAGGAATATGAAAATTAGCATCATCTTTCTGAAACAAATTTTCAGCTGGTTCTTGTAATTGATCCTCAGATTTAACGCTAGTGGATTGCCTTCCTGTACATATCCTGCTTAAACAAGCATAAAAGCGTGTACAAATCCTTCATTTCTCTTAAATTATTTCTAGAATGCTCAAATCAAAAGACATTTACAAACTTAAACTATACAGGATTCCGGACCATGTCTGGACTAACCTCTTTGTATCAGTATCCTTTTCAGTGGGTTCTTCTCCAGACTTAAACCTAGCAGATTGCCTTCTCAAACAAACACTGCCAGGAGAAATACTAAGCAAGCTAAAAACTTTAGAGAAAAACTAAAATCACTCATAAATATATTTGTGATCTAAAGCTTTACATGATTCTGGACCATGTCAGAACAAACCTCTTTGTATCAATATACTTTTCATTGGGTTCTTCTCCAGACTTAAGCCTAGCAGATTGCCTTCTTAAACAAACGCTGTCAAGAGAAATACTAAGCAAACTTAAAACTTTAGAGAAAAACTAAAATAACTCGTAAAGACATTTGTGAACTAAAACCATACAGGATTCTGGATCATGTCAGAACAAACCTCTTTGTAACAATGTTCTTTTCAGTGGGTTCTTCTCCAAATTTAAACATAGCAGATTGCCTTCTCAAACAAACACTGTCAAGA